GAAGGCAAAGGGTGGTCATACCAAATATTGATTTGATTTGGATTTCTCTTCTGTTCACTCATTTTGCATTTTGTAAATTGATAAACATAAACAATTATAATATATATTTTTAAAAGCATTCTTACTTTACAGCATTTTTTCACATCTGACTAAAACTTTTGCACAGCACTGTATATCCCACCTAGTTAGCTTAAAAATTTATGATTCTAATAGCACTCTTTATTTTGTACAACAATGAAATGTTTGCCTTCAATGAACTCAAAACACAGATCAATCATCATAGTCACTATGTCTTTGGGACAACTCTCCCATATCCAAAGTCAGTGAAAAGCCCTGATCTTAAAAAAACGGGAGATGGTTTCCCATAACCCAAATTGGGACTCATCTTCTTACAAAGAGGTGACTGGGTTCTGCTTCACCCATAGCTTTTAGAAAATAGCAGATCACAACCTTTATTTAAATACTATTGGGACTCTTCTTTTTGCAAAAACACATTAGATTTTAAGTGTCCACATTAAAACTGGGATAGTGGCTTTAGATTTCTTTAATATCTACTTAGTTATCTAATTCATTATTTTATAGTGTTTAGTTTGTAATCTGTCCAGAAAGCATTAATTATTGCAGGGGTGCATGACCCATGGCCAACTGCTTGGGATTTTTCTTTTTTGCCCCCAAATTAAGGGAAATAAATCACTTCTATTCCTACTCATAAAGAATAACTACCCCCATCTCCACCAGCTTTCTGAACTTGGGAAGCAGAGTTTGAGCTGGTCCATCAAACGCTGCCCACCAGTAAGTTAACAAGAAGGCCAGAAATTTAAATAATTGCTTTTGCTGGAGACCTTAAGTTTCCTCTTCCTGGGTCTAACTGGCCAGGGGCTCAGATTCAACATGTAGCTACTAGCTTTCATAAATATACTTTTCAATATTCCCTAAACAGTTACATTTCTAGATTCCCTAAAGAGTTACATTTCTAGATTACCCTCTCCTCTGGCTAATGCCAATCCTTACTTTTATTTTTTCCATGGTTGCATTCCATTGTCATAACTGATGGCACTATATTTATTTATCACATGTTGGAACTTCTCATTCCTGCCCTCCTTGAAAATGTACTGTATGTCAAACAAAAGCCACAGAGAAGAAATGTCCTGCCACAGATTTGTGTTATTAAAAATGGAACAGGTCTTTCTCTTTTCCATAACTTCTTAATGAAGTTACATTTCAATGATGTTTCTTTTGAAAATGACCCTATATTATGACACCAGGCACTGAAGGACTGGCTGGATCAGTAAAAAGAACCGCATGCCACCAATGACAGAATCCATCCGCTGAAAGTAACTTTGGCATCTTCATTATGTACCTCTTGGACTAATCTTTCAAAATTACATTAATCCTAACTATTTAGAATTTAAAAAGAAATTGATTGCTATCTTCTACGTCAGCATGGAATTACCATAAAATGTAGATCTGAATATTTTTAAATGATACTTACTGATCTATGAACTCTACACAAACTCCAAAAGCATCTGCCATGTACCCAAGTGTAAGTGACCGATACGATTCTAGGAGCTGACTGTAGGCATGGATTCTCATTTCCCGAACATAATAACGATAATGTGGTGCGAACAGCCAATCTTTTTTCATCTCTTGCTCTACAGTGGCTGAAATGGAAATACAACGTGTAAAGGTGGCAACGCTTTACAGAAGTTGTTGCCTGCAAATGTGATTTAACATTACCCTCAAGGATCATTTAGCATGAAGGTCAATAATGCAGCACCTGCAACATCACCGGTGCTTACTGACCTCCACATTTTTAGAAAATAATATTAAAATGATCAAAATTTCCCAAACTAAATATTTCTATTATTGCATGAGACTTGAGCCACTTTGTAGAATTTTCTAGATGAAATTATGCCAATTTCTTGAAAAGAAAAGAAAAGTCTCAAAAGTTCTTTCATGCCCAGCATCCTCAAAAAAAGGATACATCTACAGTGGGGCAAAAAAGTATTTAGTCAGCCACCAATTGTGCAAGTTCTCCCACTTAAAAAGATGAGAGAGGCCTGTAATTTCCATCATAGGTATACCACAACTAGGAGGGACAAAATGGGGGGGGAGATCCAGAAAATCACATTGTCTGATTTTTAAAGAATTTATTTGCAAACCATGGTGGAAA